AATACTACCAATGTTTTATACTACCAATACTACCAGTGCTTTAATTTGAGTGATGATCTGTCTATTTTGTGTTTTTTAGCAGTAGTGGCAGAGACAACCAAGAGCACACTTGATTCAGGCAACAGGGTCGCATCACTATACTGTTCACTCTGTATCTGTGCTGTCTTAACTTATTGCTTCTTCATTCACACTAATGTATGTTCAAGTGTTGTTGGATTTGTTTAGTTTTAATTAGGTATTTGATTTACATGTTTCGAATGATTTAAAAAGACGTTTATCCCTGCTGCTATCAGTCTTCTTAATGCCCCACTGTGAGGTATTTGTATTAATGATGTATTTACTGTTATTGATGTGGTTTGAGTAGGTTACTGCTCGCTGCACAATTAATTGCGCCTCTGGGATAAAACAAAAAAAAAGACAAAACTTGAACCTTAATATTAAATGATAATGATATTGAGCTACAGTACATAATCATGAGTTACTATTATATCATTTCTAAATTTGCTGTTGAATGGTATTCATGAATTATGTGTATAATAACCTGGGAACCTGTAGCACTATATAAATGTAGAGTTAGCAGTTTTAAAAGTTCATATTTGACAACTACAGTATGTTGAGCTCCAACACGATTAACAAGCTCAGCAGATTTACACTGACAGATGCTGCAGGCACTGAGTTATCATTCGGGTTCAAATGAGAATTCCTGGGTCCACTCACCATCATTGAGGTCCTGCAGCAGGTTCTCCTGACCAGAGAAGTCCACCTTGACTTTGATTTGGACAGTCAGTGTCACAGCCTGGCCGGGTTTTAGAGGCAGGTGAGACAAAGGCTCGTCCAGCTCCCAGCTCAGAAACTCCCCAAACATTTTCTCTGAACAGACACAAAAGAATAAAAAAGGAAAAATAAAAAAGAATATTCCAATAAAATAACATGACATCCTTACACAATAGCACCTTCTGGGATAAAACATAGCAATACCTATTAATCAATTCTTTCTCCTTTAGAGCATTAAAGGTTCAGTGTGTAGAATGTAGTGATATCTAGTGGTGAAGTTGCATATTGCAGCTGAATACCCCTCACCTCACCCTCCCCTTCCCAACATGACAGAGAATATGTGGTGAACTTGAGTTGTCATGAAAACTCAAAAGGTTTTAGTTTGTCCAGTTTGGACAACAGTAAATAAACATGGTGGCCTCCACAGAGAGGACCCCCTCCATGTAAATATAAAGTATTTAAATATAAAGGGCTCGTTCTATGGTAAAGAAAACAACAATTCATCAATTTAGATGATTGAAAACAGCACTAGGATTATTTTATATTTTAAAAAAATCCTTTTCACCTAAACCTTACACACTGGACCTTTAATGCAGTGTGGTAATCAGTGTAAGGACAGAAGGAGGAAGTAGTGGCTGAAATAGCTGGTAAAGAATAAATACAAGGATATCAATGGATAAACCTTAAACGCCTTTAACTGGATCTGAGTGGTTCCTTTTATCCTCAACATTTTGACTTCATTCATAAAAGAGTATTTCAACTTTATTATCAAAATGAAAAATAAAAAACAGCATAGTTTGCATTTATTCTTAACATTTCAACGGTATTCTTAAAATGCAAAGTGAACATCTTCCTCTTCTCATGCGTGGTCCTAACACCTTTCCTAACACACATTGTGCATTTTGCTTTCCAGTGCAACAAAGCTGCTAATTGGCCTCCTACCTAAAAAAAAACATGTGAACGCCACCACACCTGACTTTATATCCCCAAAGCCTTCTACCTGAGATGAATGACTCAGCTGCATCTACTTCAACCAGGGGCCTCAAATGAATGGTGCATCACCTGAATGAAGCATGTGTTCTGTCTGTGCAGGTGAGACACTCCTGCTCTCGGGGATTGCAGGAGCAATCAGGCTGATTAAAACAGACGCACAGCAGAAGGGGAGATGCAAGCTCACTGTGCGAAGAACAGTTTACATGGCCATGCTTGTTTCATAACCAAAGTCTTTAAAGTCTTCTAAGAGGATGTGAATGTAAGCAGCATTAAATAAAGATTTTGAGAATAACTCTCTACTTTAAATATTCATACATTCAGAGTTCCTGAATTAAGAGAGAGAGAGAGAGAGAAAATAAGAGGGGTAGAGAGTAGGGCAACAGGGAAAGGACTTAAAAGAAATGGGATTGGTTTCATGTGAATGTGGAGCATCAGGATTGTGCATGACGTTACTCTCATTTCACTACTAAACTATGAGTCAGTGACTGTGGAGGAACATTTCCTGGTCGATGTTAAGTATTAATCAGTGACTGATATTGTTTTTGCAAATGAAGCACGTCAGTCCAGCTTCAAATACTGTCCTGAATACAGGTTTTGAGATTTCAATCCTCTCTGGTTCTGATAATCCCACTTTTCTTTCTCCCTCAGTGATCCACCTGAAGGAAACTGAATTTGCAGAGCTCTAACTCATGCATCCACCAATGAGGACTGATCAGAAACGATCAGAGAAATTGAATGAGACACTGATCAAGGTATTTTGCTTTTTGTTTCACGTTGAAAACATATTAATTTAAAAAAGGCTGCAAGGCGCAGTCAGTTCAATACAGTTTAACCAGTTAACATCAAACAGCATAAACTAAGAAAGAAATAACGAGTCCTCTACGCTGTCATACCCTAAACTGCACAACTGGTATTCACAAAAACAGGCACATCCATAGCAGCCACAGAAATACACTCAGTTGCCAGTTTAATACACCAAAACTAATGGAGTCTCAAACAACAGCACTGATATAAAGTCATGAAGGTTATACTGTGCAGTTTGTGTTCAATCTGTTTTTAAGGAGATGTTGATTGATGGTTGTTGATTTGCAGGATGTAGTTTCTGAAGCTATAAACAGGAGGTTGCATTGATTGATTAGTTGCTTTCTTATATCGTAATGTCAGGAAACAGGACAGAACTCTACGACCCACACAGCCACTCCATGAAGCTGTGCTTAGCATGCTTCAAGCTAAATGCTCAAATGATCAAAATGACATAATATACATGCTAATGAGATAACACCATGATCTGAGTTTAGCAGAGTGGCATTCGAACATTGCATTCCACACATCGGAGTTAGAACTATAATACTAAACTGTACTATAAGCACTAGTTTTGCAGGTATTTAGTCATAAACTGACCTGAGATGGATATCCACACTTATAACAATTCATTCTGAAGGAACATGAATACATCAAGCCAATCCATCAATGAGGTCATGATATTTCCTCAGATAAATTAGTTTAACTGTAAATTACTCTGCTGGTGGTGCTAGATTATCAAGAGTCGTTGGGAGATGACATACTCCAGCAAACCCAAAATATCTAAAGGTGCCTCTTCTCCACCTGATTAAAATCTTTGCATCACATGTCTACGCAAGGGATCCCAAAGTCAGTGGTATTCATCATCTTGGGTCCCTTAAAATTGGTAAACAATCTCAGGGAAAAATATCCGATATTTCAGCCTGGCCCTGAAACAAAGAGCTCGACTGACGCTGGAGTCGCTCTGTCAGAATGAGTTAAAAGCAGCTGGGCAAAGTTCAGACAAACCACTTGGGACATATGAGGAAAAACCTGCTACACAAGCAAAGTAGGACGATCAACACCATCACTTAAACACATTTTACACCACAGAGCTTATCTTTTCTCCTATCCACTTTCCTGGAGAAACCTTGCTGTGCTGTTTTCCAACGTTGATGGCTGTTTTTTTCAAAGCCTCACAAAATTCAAATATGCATCAATATACACAGCAAATAGCAGATTCTGTATTCATGCATTGCACTGCTTATGTGATCTTATAAATCTAACAAAACTTCCAGCCAAAAACTTGTTCACATTAATCAGTGGAATTGTTAATACTCATTTCTGAGACACAAGGAAAATTTTATATTTGAGACTAAATAGAAAGCTATTGTTAAAAGACAAGATAATACACTTAGGTTAACAGAACATAAGCATTTTGGCGCCTTTGTAATATATGAAAATAACAGTCATGATGGGAGAGTTCTGGAACAAGAAGAGAAATGCCTTATTGAATAGCAGCTATTATCTACAACTAAAATACTTTTTTTAAGACCAAAGGACTGCACAGGCTGCACTGTTCATGATAACAAAATCATTGAAGCAATATTTATCCCCTTTTTGTTTTTTATGGGGTGCACAACTAAAGGTGTTTTTGGAAATATGAGACATTTGATACGAAGTGTTTTAGAGGGAAACTGAGCCGCGCTCATAGTTATATCCACAAAAGAGCAATAAGGTGGCAATGACCGACAAAAGTTCCGATGGCTGGTTACTGTCTGCTAAACAAAGACTCTTATTCAAATGTGATACAATAGATTATTGTGTTAAGAGTTTATATTGTTATCTACAAAGTTCTTTTCATGAATAAATATTTACTTTGGAGACACTGGACTCATATCTCCTGTGTCAAGGTGGTTGTGCTGTGGCAGAAAGAGTAATGTTTTGTTTGTTTTGCCACAGGTGTCCACATATTGCGAATCTTCATCTTTTATTCATTCGACTCCCACAGTGAATGCAGAGGGCTTGGGAGAGGCCCTCTCAACTGTGGTCTGTCGAAAGCCACCGGTTACGACCAAGGAGGTGTAACACGATGACCAAGGGGACGGTAAGTGCTGTCAGCGTGGTGCTGCGGTCTGTCGCTAGAGATTCCACCACTGCTGCATCAATGATCTCCTCATAGGGACCAGTGTCCCAATCTACAGTATGTGTATGACTGAGGCCCCCAGGGTGTAGACAAATGTATTTCTCACCATGGTTGGATGAAATTGGTACAGGACTGAAACATACACATAAACACATATAAAAATACCACTCAGAGACTCACTCTGGGTCAAAAGTACACACAGTGCATATGCTCAAATTATGCATAGGCTACTTCCCTACACATAAATTGGTATTTATAAAAAACTGAATGTGCAATGAGACTTTGCACACCTGATGCATACTTAATACAACTCAGAAAGCATTAAATATTCTATTCATAACAACAGAGGCCCAGGGTATCTCAAAGTCCACCTTCACCATGTCAAGGGCACTCATGCGTGCTATAGTGTAGATTGAGAATTGGCAGCCTCTGCTTGAGGTTGGCTAACAAAGTGTTTCTACATATTCAGTGCGGCAGATCCCTGTGGTGCTGATTATGACTGAAGTAATGAATCAATTTAAAGGGGAAACTTGGAACTGTGAGATTATCATCCTAGTTAAACATTTGCATGAAATTAGAGCCACGGAGAAGGTTTTCATCTGCATTTGTTTGTTATTTGGCAGGATTACGCAAAAAACTGCTGAGTTGATTATCATAAAACTTGGTGGAAGGATGCAGGGTGGTTCAGGAAAGAAGCCAGAAAAATTTGAAAAATATCAGGCATGAGTATTGGATTAATATTTATAATTTTCTGCAGGTGTATTCAAGAAAATGTGGAACTAGTGCATTGAATGTGGTGTCATAAGGGGACATGGCGGAGGTATGCACTCTATGGGTGTCACTCACCCATAGAGTCCTCTGTCCAGTAGTTTTCAGCGTAATCCTACTATACTAACTATCTTCTTGACAATGTCAACATGTAAAGCAATGCGTTGTAAAAATGGAGTGGATTTAAGTAAAATAAATACTTAAGTACTTTGTTACATCCTATACTACTGCTGTACAGGATCAATAATCAGTGAGACACCAGTGATATTTGCTGTCAGGTATAGTCAGACCTTTGTCAGAGTTGAATGCACCTAACCCACAACTCGCTAACACCCATGCATCCCTTGCAAATGCATGAGAAAAATATAGTTGAAGTCCAAGTTCAACAGATTTATAGTTTGAAAAAAAA